TTAGTCAGGTTTGATTATTTTTCTTTCATACTTAACAATATTTTATCTATTTTTAGAATAATGACATAATTTCAAGTGATGAATCTCCATCATGTGAATAAAATTTATGTATGTTCAGATAGTTCTCACATTTATTCTTTATTCTTTTTTCTATTATCAATTATTTTTTAGGTTTTGCTAGTGCAAACCATTATTAATATTAAAACAAGCTAAACTCAGAATTATAGAAGATCACTTTTTGTGAAACGTTTTCTCATCTTCCTTATGATTTCGCTTTCCCTAGTCTTATAATAAATTATAAAATAATGAGATTTCCAAGAACATATTTAAAAAAAATAACTAAAACCTCAAATAAACATATATTAAATTTTAAATTATCTCTTAGAACCAAAAAGAATAACAATTCTCACTTAACCGAAAAATTCAATACACATTATTACATATATTAAAGAGCGAACAAGGTTTTTGTTCAACATTTTCCCATCTTTTAATTATTTGTTGAAATTACTATTTATGCTTAAATAAAGATGATTATCAAGAAAAATGATTCAATCAATCATGGAATTCAGATTAAGGTAATTATGAAAATCCAGAATCTATTCTCAATACCATATTTTACTTCAATCACAATATAATCAAATTTACATAAAGTCTTAACAAGATAAATTATATTTTTTCTCTAAAGCTTAAGTTAAAGGAATTGAAATTCAAAAAATAAAAAAAATAATGAATTGTATTTTTCATAAAGAAAATCCAATCTCTTTGATATGTTTAGCTCCTCATGAGTGTAAATTAAAAAGAAAACTTTGTCACAAATGTCAATATCTACATGGAGTAGATTTTAAACATATAGTTTCGATTGAATTATTTAAAGAAAAAGTTAGCAAGAAATTAGCAGATTATTAGTTTGATGAGGCATCTGAAGTAAAATAAAAGAGAATAAAATTGATCTCTGTGCTTACTCAAACCGAAAGTTTGCTGAAGTAAATTTTTGAAGAATTATTATAATCAATCCAATAAATATACGATTAGATTGAATAGGAAAACAACACCTTTTATAAAATAATTATTGACACCATCCATAACCCTGCAGAATTCTTAAAAAATGAATTAGAAAATTTAGTACAAATTGCTGAAGGATCAACATTAAATTATTGGATTGTTTAGAAGAATTCTTATATTGAGCTGTTGGAAAAGGGAAGGATTTTTTTGGATAAAGAAGTAAAGGATTTCATCGGAAAGGTAAGATAAGAAATGGAAGAGATTTTTTCATTTAATAGGTAAGCACAGTTAAATATCCAACCAATTCAAAAAGAAAGAGAAGGTTTAAAAGTCGAAAAAGACATTGATGATCTATTAACTTCTGTAAAAGATATTGACGTCAAAATTTTCAGTTTAATCATTGAACTGCTGAAAAAAGAAAACATCTCAGATTTCTATGGATTTCTAAAGAAGGATGAAACTCAACAAAAACTTAATGAACACTTAGAAAATAGTTGTACCAATAAAATTATTGAGGTTACCAGAAATCTCAAGGAGCATGACTTTAATAAAAATGATTATTCTGCTGAAATCTATTATTAAAAGATATATGATCTTATTAAAAGAATAAGAGAGGATAATAACATAATAGAATTCTTAAAATTTTTGGTACATTTAACAGCTATAGACGAATAACTGATTTAGTGCGGTTCAAATGCAATTCATTTATTAGTAAAAATGAAGATTGATATGACAAACTAATAATTTCAAGATATTAAGATTTAGAATACATCTTTAATAGGAGCAAATTTATTAAGGTGTAATTTGAGTGGATCTGAATTTAATAACGTAGATATAACAGGCATAAATTTAAATGGAGCTTAATTACTCAGGTGTAAATGGAAGAACATTAGAATAAATCAATTTAATAGATTAGATGGTCATAGTGGTGGTGTTAAATCCGTATGCTTCTCACCTGATGGTTCGATATTGGCTTCATGCAGTTTGGATAAATCTATTCGTTTATGGGATTTGAAGACAGGATAAGAAAAAGCTTAGTTGTTTGGTCATTATGGCTGGATCAATTAAGTGTCCTTCTCTCCTGATGGTAAAACTTTAGCATCTTGTAGCTATGATAAGTGTATTCGTTTATGGGATGTTATGACAGGATAAAAAAAGGCCAGATTGGAAGGTCACACTAATGTTGTTTGCTCAGTGTGCTTTTCTCCTGATAGTGCTATATTAGCATCAAGTAGTAAGGATAACTTTATCCGTTTATGGGATGTCAAAACAGGACAGTAAAAATCAAAATTTCTTGGTCATACTAACGCTGTTTTATCGATTTGCTATTCTCCTGATGGTACGACATTAGCTTCAAGTAGTGAGGATAGATCAGTCCGTTTATGGGATGCTGAAACAGGAAGTTAAAAATCAAAATTAGATCATGAATTTGAAGTTAATAATGTGGTCTTCTCTCCTGATGGTAGAACATTGGCAGCTGGAGGTTACGATAAAAATATCACAATTTGGGATTTTAAGACAGGATTATAAAAAGCTAAGTTGGTTGGCCATAAAGATCATATTCTATAAGCTTGCTTCTCTCCAGATGGTGCTATGATAGCTTCTGCTAGTTGGGATAAGTCAATTCTTATTTGGGATGTTAAGACAGCACAGTAAAAAGCTAAATTGGAGGGTCATTCTGAAGGAGTCTCATCAATAAGCTTCTCTCCTGATGGCAAAACATTAGCTTCTGGTAGTTTCGATCAGACCATCGGTTTATGGGATGTTAAGATAGCATTGTAAAAATCAAGTTTAGAAGGTCATGATAATTTAATCAATTCAATATGCTTCTCTCCTGATGGTACTACTTTAGCATCTGCTAGTTCAGATAAGTCTATCCGTTTATGGGATGCTAAGACAGGATAATAAAAAGCAAAATTAGATGGTCATTCATCAGTTGTTACTTCCGCCAATTTCTCCCCTGATGGTACATTATTAGCATCAGGCAGCATATATGACACCATTTTATGGGATGTTAAAACAAAATAATAAAAATATTAATTAAAAGTTCATACTAAATGGGTTCAATCAGTGAGTTTCTCTCCTGATGGTACTTTATTAGCATCTTGTAGTGATGATAAGTTTATACTTTTATTTGATGTCAACACAGGATAATAAAAAGCAAAGTTAGATGGTCATACTTATTATGTCCTTACAATATAATTCTCTTATGATGGTACTTTATTAGTATCTGGAGGTGTAGATCAATACATCAGAATATGGGATGTTAAAACAGGTAAATAAAAAGCCACATTAGAAGGTCATGATGGTTGTATCAATTCAGTATGCTTCTCTCCTAATGATACTATATTAGCATCCGGTAGTGCAGACAATTCAATTCTTTTATGGGATGTTAAGACAGGATAAAAAAAAACAAAGTTAGTTGCCCATATTCGTCAGGTCAAATCATTATGCTTCTCTCCTGATAGTACTATTTTAGCCTCTGGTAGTTTAGATCAAGATATCAATATATGGGATGTTAAGAGGGAAGAACTAAGGGCCTCATTGAAAGGTCATTATAATTGCATCAATTCAGTATGCTTCTCTCCTGATGGAGCTGTGTTAGCATCTTGCAGTGATGATATGTCTATTCGTTTATGGGATGTGAAGGGTATAATTGAAATTGAAGAGTCAGATTAAAATTAATAAGAAGTAATGGTAAAATTGGAATAGATTGAATTAAAAAAACTTTTTAAAGGTAATTTTATTTTAATAATATTTAGTTAATAATGTGACTATTCTGCGTATATCTAAAATACCAATATTTTAGGCTTTTGGTGCTTTAATTTTCAAAGGAGAATTCATAAATTATTAAGGACTAGATTTAAGATCCTATTTAAAATTTAAAGGAAGTCTTTTTTTGGAGAATCATTTGTAAGAATAATAAAAGTGAGAGAAAGATTATTTACAAAGTATTACACATTTAAAATTACAATCATTATCTTCTTGTTTGTAGAATAAAATATCTATGAGTCTTTTTTAATAAGATTGATAATACAAAATGTTTTAATAATCTTTTCAACTTTTTATTGATCATCCCTAAATATTAGTCAATTTCTATATTACAATAAACTATGGTAGTATGATGATAATAAGTATTTTCAGGATTTTTCTAATACAGGTATAAAAAAATATTCAAAACCTAGAATTTCTAATTTTTTTTTCTCCTAGTAAAGTGTATAACCCTCATAATTCTTTCGTACAAAATAGAAATGTGATTCAATGAATTTCTATGAGTAGAAATTTAATTATTTTTTTTTAATGAATCAATATCAATAAATGTAATTATTATTTCTGGATAAGTTAATGAAATAAAAGAACAAAAATACATTTTATCCAAAAAAATTGTACATTTTCATTTCATCTTTAATATTTTTCTAAGTGATCACAAAAAATAGCAAATCATCAACAACTTCTTCAATTAGTTTTATATATATAAATGCAGATTCCATGTATAACAATAAATTACTTTAATCCTTGAAATATCAACTTAGATGTTCATCTACTTCAATTTTACTTAGATTATATTTAAGAAGAAATTATTAATAACTCAATATCATCGATAACTAGTTCTGTTTATGTTTTAACTTATTAAATGAATGATAAAATCTAATAGATTTATTGAGCTGACTAATACTTGATATAAATGTAACAAAGAATATTACGTAAACTTATAACAATGTATTGATCACTTTACATCACACAGGGGCCTTAGGATTTGATTTAATTTAGTAACAATATCGTCTTCAAATTCTCATAGTTTTTAATTATTGTAATTGTTTTAAAGTTTCATACAATAACTTAAATTAACAAAAATTTTAAAACAAAAAAGTCAAAATGATGTTTGGATATTCAAGGGAATCAAATTGATATTTATAAAATCATTTTTGAATATAACCATAAATAGGATAATTTTTTCAATCTTTAATAAAATGGTTTTAATTGATATCATAACTGCTAATCGTTCAACCTATTTTTTTTTTTTATTCTATGTTTTTCATTATAATGTAGCATTCTTATGCTTCTTCAAATCTACTCAATTGCTGTAAAGTTTATGCTATAACTAGCATGCTTCATTTTTACCTCTGTCATTATAATATTCTGATTTTTATGGGTTTTTCTCTATAGCTGAATCAAAATATTCCAATGCTTCTTCGTATTTACACATTAGTCTTAAAGTTAATCCTATAAAAACATAATTAATTTTTACCTTTGCCATATTAATAATCAGAATTTTATGGATATTTTTCTATAGCTGAATCACAATATTCCACAGCTTCATCATACTTACACATAAGCCTTAAAATTATTGCTAAACAAAAACACATAATAACTCATACATTTGCTAAAATAATAATCTGAATTTTCTGGGTTTCTCTTTATAGCTTAATCATAATATTCCAAAGCTTCTTCGTACCTTTTCAAATAATTTAAAGTTAATGCTACAGTATAATAAGTTACTTTCACCTTTGCCATTATAATAATCTGAATTTTCTGGGTTTCTTTCTATAGCTAAATCATAATACTCCAATGCTTCTATATATCTACTCAATTATCTTAATGTAAAAGCTGCAAAAATAACTCTACATTTTACCTGCATTATTGAAATATTCTGATCTTTCACAGTTTTTTTAAATTGCTTAATCATAATAGTATAATGCTTATTCATATCTTTACAACTGAGTTAAAGTAAATGCTATACATAATGTTATTTACTTTGTACCTTTGCCATTATAAAAATCAGAATCTTCAGGGTTTTTCTATATAGCTAAATCATAATATTCCAAAGCTTATTCAGATCTATTCATTTATTATAAAACAATTGCTATCAGTTTTCAATTATGATACCTTTGTTATAATAAGAAATTTCTTTTTCAGGATTTTTTATTATTGCTTAATTAAAGCATTCTAATGCTTCTTCATATTTGTTCATATTCCTTAATGTTAATCCTACATAACTTCAATTTACTTTTTACCTTTTCCATTATAAAAATCAGAATCTTCAGGGTTTTTCTCTATAGCTAAATCATAATATTCCAATGCTTGTTCATATCTATTCATTATATCTAGAATATCAGCTAGCTTATGTAATTATCAAAATACCTATGTGATAGTAATAAGTTGAATTTTCAGGATTTTGTTGAGTTGCATAATTCAAACATGCTAAAGCCTCTTAATATCTATTCATTTTTCTTAAAGTTAATGCTACACAAAAATTAACGTTACTATCTACCTTTGTTATTACAATATTCTGCTTTTTAAATGTTTTTTTAAATAGCTAAGTCATAATAGAATAAAGCCTCTTAATATCTGCACATTTGACTTAAAGAAATTGCTATACAAATTCAACTTACTTTTACCTTTCCCATTATAAAAATCAGAATCTTCAGGATTTCTCTATATTGCTAAATCATAATATTCCAATGCTTGTTCAGATCTATTCATTATATCTAGAGTATCAGCTATCAGTATGCAATTATCAAAATACCTTTGTGATAGTAATATGTTGCATTTTCTGGGTTTTTCTGAATAGCGAAATCAAAGTATTCCAAAGCTTCTCCACATCTATTCATCATCCTTAAAGTTGTTGCTTAAAAACCTCACATTATACTTCTACCTTTGCCATTATAATACTCTGAATTTTCTGAATTTTTTTCTATAGCTAAATTATGAAATTCCAATGCTTCCTTATTCCTTCTCAATAGTCTTAAGGTTATTGCTATATAATAATCTATATTATGAATAAACCTTTGCTGTTATAATAATCTGAATTTTCAGGGTTTTTTTGTATTGCTTAATCATAACATTTTAATGCTTCCTAATATCTATTCATTTGCCNTGCTATACATAATGTTATTTACTTTGTACCTTTGCCATTATAAAAATCAGAATCTTCAGGGTTTTTCTATATAGCTAAATCATAATATTCCAAAGCTTATTCAGATCTATTCATTTATTATAAAACAATTGCTATCAGTTTTCAATTATGATACCTTTGTTATAATAAGAAATTTCTTTTTCAGGATTTTTTATTATTGCTTAATTAAAGCATTCTAATGCTTCTTCATATTTGTTCATATTCCTTAATGTTAATCCTACATAACTTCAATTTACTTTTTACCTTTTCCATTATAAAAATCAGAATCTTCAGGGTTTTTCTCTATAGCTAAATCATAATATTCCAATGCTTGTTCATATCTATTCATTATATCTAGAATATCAGCTAGCTTATGTAATTATCAAAATACCTATGTGATAGTAATAAGTTGAATTTTCAGGATTTTGTTGAGTTGCATAATTCAAACATGCTAAAGCCTCTTAATATCTATTCATTTTTCTTAAAGTTAATGCTACACAAAAATTAACGTTACTATCTACCTTTGTTATTACAATATTCTGCTTTTTAAATGTTTTTTTAAATAGCTAAGTCATAATAGAATAAAGCCTCTTAATATCTGCACATTTGACTTAAAGAAATTGCTATACAAATTCAACTTACTTTTACCTTTCCCATTATAAAAATCAGAATCTTCAGGATTTCTCTATATTGCTAAATCATAATATTCCAATGCTTGTTCAGATCTATTCATTATATCTAGAGTATCAGCTATCAGTATGCAATTATCAAAATACCTTTGTGATAGTAATATGTTGCATTTTCTGGGTTTTTCTGAATAGCGAAATCAAAGTATTCCAAAGCTTCTCCACATCTATTCATCATCCTTAAAGTTGTTGCTTAAAAACCTCACATTATACTTCTACCTTTGCCATTATAATACTCTGAATTTTCTGAATTTTTTTCTATAGCTAAATTATGAAATTCCAATGCTTCCTTATTCCTTCTCAATAGTCTTAAGGTTATTGCTATATAATAATCTATATTATGAATAAACCTTTGCTGTTATAATAATCTGAATTTTCAGGGTTTTTTTGTATTGCTTAATCATAACATTTTAATGCTTCCTAATATCTATTCATTTGCCTTAAAGTTTATGCTTCACAATATATTATTAAATGTTTACCTCTGCCATTATAATAATCTGAGTCTTCTGGGTTTTTCTGTATAGCTAGATCATAAAATTCCAATGCTTCTTCATACATGCTGATTTTTTCTAATGTTATTGCTTCAAAATATCATTTTAATTTTTACCTTTGCTCCTATAAAATTCTGAGTTTTCTGGGTTTATTTTTATAGCTAAATCATGATTATCCAATGCTTTTTCATATACATTTAGTTGTCTTAAAGTTATTGCTACACAATAATCCATGGTTTATTAGTACCTTTGCCATTATAATAATCAGAAATTTTTGGGTTGTTTTGTATAGCTAAATCATAATATTCCAATGATTGATTAAATCTATTCATTACTCTTAAAGTCACAGCTAGACAATTATGCATTTTATATTAACCTTTATTATAATAATATTCTGATATATCAGGATTTTTATTAATAGCTTAATCATAAATTAGCAAAGCTTCTTCAAATCTATTCATCAGCCTTAAAGTCATAGCTACAGATATGCATTTTACTTTCTACCTTTGCTATTATAGTATCCTGATTTATTAGGGTTTAAATGAATAGCTTGATTGTAATGTTTCAATGCATCTTCAAATTTTAGCATTTTTTGTAATGTTTCCGCTACAAAGGTATGTATTTTCAAATTTACCTTTGCCATAATAGTGGTCTGAAAATTTTGGATATTTTTAAATCGCTAAATCAAAATAGTCTAATGCATCCTAAAACCTTTTCAGCTTATATAAAGCAATAGCTAAAAAGAGATAGATTATTCAAAAAAGTATACCTTCTTTATGATAATCTTCAGGATTTTAATCTTCCAAATTTGTTGCTTCCTCACATCTTTGCATTTAATCTAATGCATCAACTATAAATAATTTTTATATTATACTATTATTCAAATAAATACTATTATCAACAGCGTTTTACTTGGCCTCATGATCGTTTATTTCTAATTTATTTTTCAAAATATTGCTTAAAAAGTATTATTAAGTATTTTCGTTGCTTATATATTTTATTTTAACTTTCTTATTGACTTAAAAATAGTGTTTTAAATATGTCCCAATTTGAATTTTTTATTATTTTTTCTTTTTAAAGAAATTTTGTAGGAGTCGGTCTGTTTGAATTAGCCTTTGAAAATATTATTATTTGATTAATCTTTAAAGTTTGATATAATTTATAGTGTTGGTAAAATAATTAATGGAAGCTTTTTATGACTCATATTCCTTTAAATATATCGCTTTCTTGAAGGTATTTTCGTGAAATTATATCATTAACTTTTATTAGAATCAATCTATTTTTATATAATAATTTTTAATAAGTGTAAATTCCTTGTAATACATGCAAAATCATATGGATTAGAAGCAAAAATAAAATAAATATATAGATTCGAAACACCTCAACAATCTTATTCATATTACATATTTTTTATATAAAATCAAAAATTGATAAAAATTAGAGTTAATTGATTTCATTAGATGAAATACTGTATTTTTTTTTCATCAATTTTAAACAATTTTTATTTTCTTTTTCTGATGCTTGATATTTTATAATTATTCCATCCAATTTATGTCCCCTTCATACTATATTCTTTAATATTCTTCATAATTATCGAGCTGTTTAACGATTGAGAAGACTTGAATATCAACAATATTATAATACATATGTATTCAATGGAGTTTTTTCCATTTATCATGTCGTTTACATTATTGTTTTTGTTAAAACTCTATTTTATTTCCCTTTTTTTCTATATTCCTTTATTTTATCAACATTTTCATTAACAAAAATATATAATTTATTTCTCTTAATCAAAGGAATATGTGTTTAAGATATGTATATTTCATAGTTGTTCTCTTTGCTTATTAAATATTTCATTTATCTAGTGATCGGATATTATAGATTAATGAGTACATCTGATGCTTAAGTCTCTCTTTATATTCTCCCATTTACTTCAACAGAGGTTGCATTGATGATGATATATATTTATTGAACAGCTTGATGTTTAACATTAAGTAAGCATAATTGTTCTGAAATTATGATCTTAGATTGATTATGATAAAAATTAGCTTGAGTTAATGATTATAGAACTTCTTGAATTGGTGTTAAGTAAATTTACTAATTTGCTCTATAATTAAACCACAAATACTTAAATTAAATTTCCATATTAAAAGTAAATAATATTCGATAAAAATGCAAAAGAAGATGATTATTTATCTATAAATAATTAAAATTTCATCTAATTTGAATATAAAAATCAGCATAAGTTTTTCTTTGGGGATATGAAAACTTAAAAAAAGTATTTTTCTGAGAAATAAAATAACCAGAATATGAATAAGGCAAGCGTGTAATTATTTTAATATGAGTCTATTCAAAATATCTTACTAATTTTAATAATTAATGAGAGTAGTATCTAAACAAAACTTTGATCAATAATAATTTCAAATTAACATTGAAGGCTTCATAAATTTGAAATAATTCATACAATATACATAATTCATAATATAAAAAAAATGAAGAATTAATTATTAAAATTGATGTTAGAAAAATACTGCTTTATAAAATCGATAAATAAAAAATAAACGTTATAAATCTTAGAAAAATTTGAAATCAGACAATTAGGTTACTACGTTGTAATATGTGCAACCAAGTTAATATTTGATAATTTTCTTTTGCAAATTTGAAAACAAGACGTAGAATGAGTGGTTCAATATTATATGATCTAACCAATAATGATATAAATTTATTTAAACTATACACATTTAATTTTGAGTCAATTACTCAACCCTTGCATTGTTTGCTTTTCTCCTAACAAAAATATCCAAAAGTCTCTGATTTGAAGTATAAGAATTAAAGAAATAGTAATAAAAATTCAATATTTTTTTTAAAAAAGCAATGAGTTGTTGGAATCAATAGAAAGAAGATCTTTATGAGATTTTGGCTTTATCTAAAGATGTTGATGAAGTAGTCATCCCTATCCTAATTATAATATTCAAGAGGGAGAAAATTTAGGATGAAAATCAAAGGTAAGTTGAATAAGAAATAGTTTACTTAGAATATTTATCCCTATTAAATAATCAATAGATATTAAATGTTGTAAAGAATAATATTAAGAAAATAATAGTTGTTCTCAACCATATTTTGGATCATGATTTTACTAAAGAAAATTATTCTTTTGAAGAATAAAAATAAGTGTAAGATATCAAAAATATATCAAATGATATCGAATTAGTAAAATTTTTAGTTCATATAACTGCCTTAGATAAGAAATAAATTTAGCGTGGATCAAATTCTCTTCATTTATTAGTTGAGATGAAGCTTGATTTGAAGGAATAATCTTTTGAAAATATTAGGATTAGAAGTGCTTCATTGTTCGGAACAAATTTAGTGAGATCTGAATTTGAAAAATTATTTAATTATAAATGGAGGAATTTAAGTATAAATTAGGGAATTAAGTTGATTTGTCATAATGGTAGTGTCAATTCAGTTTGTTTTTCTTTATATGGTAAGACATTGGCTTCTTGCAGTGATGATCATTCCATTTGTTTATGGGATGTCAGGACAGGAAAAAAAAAGTCTTCAATGTAAGGATAGAGTGCGGTAAAATCAGTTTGTTTCTCACCTAATAGTACTACACTAGCTTCTTGCATTGGCATTTTTGTGTATATTTGGAATATTAAAACAGGAAAATAAGTAATGAATTTATTGGTCATTCTGACACTATTTTTTCAGTTTGTTTCTCTCCTGAATGTAATATACTAGCATCAGGCAGTAGAGATAATTCTATCCGTTTATGGGATGTTAAGATAGGATAATAGAAATAAAAATTAGATGGTCATACCAATAACGTTTATTCAGTCTGTTTTTCTCCAGATGGTACTAAATTAGCATCTGGTAGTTATGATAATTCTATTCGTTTGTGGGATTTAAAGACAGGATAATAAAAAGCCCAATTAGATAATCATACTAGCACAGTATATTCTGTCTGTTTCTCTCCTGATGGGAAAACATTAGCATCTGGTAGTTCAGATAACTTTATCTGTTTATGGGATGTTAAGACAGGGAAATTAGAAGTCAAATTAGATGGTCATGATGATTAAGTTCAATCAGTCTGTTTTTCTCCTGATGGTACTCAATTAGTATCAGGTAGTTATGATAAGTCTATTCGTTTATGGGATTTAAAGACAGGATAATAAATAGCCCACTTAGATAGTCATACTAGCACAGTTTATTCAGTCTGTTTCTCTTCTGACGGTAAAACATTAGCATCTGGTAGTGAAGATAAGTCTATCCGTTTATATGATACCAATTTAGATAGTCATAACGAATTGGTTAATTCAATCTATTTTTCTCTTGATGATACCTCTCTAGAATCTGTTAATAAGGATGACTTTATCCGTTTATCGGATATTAAAACAAGTCAAAAAATCTTGTCTTCAAATAATAGTTACAAATGACATTCTAGCATAATAATTTTCACTTCTATTTTTAAACATAAAATCTTATTAATTTCACAATTACCCCCCTTCCTTTAATATTGTTACTCCTCAAATTTCTTAAAATCTCAATTTTGAAGTCTAAGGAGTTTGAAAAGTGAAAGGAGAATTTTTAAATTATTCAGGCTTAAATTTAATATAATTATTCAAACCTAAAGGATGTTTTGTATTATAAAACTAAATAGTACCCATAATAATATACAAAATTATATAAATATGAGTATGAATATCCTGCTACATTAAAAACTAGTAGTGATAACAAAATTTAGTTTAATTAATTTAGATATGAGATTAAAATTTTCTGAATATAGCTGAATATAAAGATCTGCTTGCTTAATTTGAAACTCTACTTTTACAGAATCGAATTTTAGAATGTATTAATTATTTCATCTAATCTTGATTTTGAGTTCCAACATTTTAATTTTTTATGGATCACAATAATTTCTAATCATTATATAAAATAAAAGGATGTTTTATTCTATCTATTGAATCAGGCGGCCAGAATAAACGAAATTCATATAGAATCAGCTAGGATAGAATAATTTTTAAGAATCAGTCAAGATGTTCAAATTCATAAACTTTCTTTTTATATCACTCTTCTATCATGTCTAATTTTATTGCTCCTAAAATCATCACAAAATTTAATATTACAACAATGATTACTTAATTATTCAAAGAAGTAAGTTACTAATCTCTTAAAGCTAGATTTTGAAAGTATATTTAAGAAGTATACTATTATTCAATTCATTTTGGGTAATATATGATTGTTGTTGCAAATGTATTGCAATATTAAAGAAAATATGAAAATGTAATTAACTGTTACTTATTCATGAATTCTATCTGATTATTGAGGTTACAAACAATTTTGATTAAACAATAACAACAAAGGAAATCTATCCAATCAATGATAATAATAGGTTTATTCTTTATTTCATAAATATTTAAGACTTAATAAATTGTTCACTCTTATTCAATTTATAATCTATGTAAGTAAATTATATTTATAATAAATTAACTACTAAATTAGGCTTTTATATTTTTTTAACAGAAGTTGAATAAATTAAATGAATTATTATTTTTATAAAGTGTTGCATTAATAACCTTTAACCTAGTTTATATTATGAAATGAGAAGTAATTAATAAACTTAAGCAAAATTGATGATTCAGGAGTTCATAATTTAATGATAACTTATTAAAGAAATTTATTTACAAAGCCACCTTTGAATTTTTATCCTTGAATATGTAAGAAAAAATTTTCTTCTTGGATATGTAGAAAAATAAAACAGAGAAGAAGTTAAACAAAACTATTGATATTGATAGGATTCAAACCTAGAGTAAATTAACTAATAAGCATTACTGTACTTGATTAAGCGAGTTTTCTAGTTCAACAAAATCAAATAATTCATTTTTTAATTTATTTATAAATGATATTAATAAAGCATATTCATAAATCAACTTTTAATAATTTTAAAATGGGTTCAAAAATTAATTTTAAATTTTGTTTCTGATTCCTTCTATAAAAAGACATAAAATCCCATGATAATTTAAGTGATGTTTAGTTCTAGTAACAGGATTTGTATTAACTTAAAGGGGGCTACCAATAGAGTTTAGTTTAAAAAAGGAATTCTATATCATATCAGTTATAATCTAAATATTTTATAAAACATAGCCCCTAAGTTCATTTTGAAATTTTTAATTTTGTCATATTTCTATAAGGGTCATTTCAATATAAAAAGTTTCTAAAGAGAATTTCCCTAATTAAATAGGAATTTTGTCCCTCAAAATAAATCAGTGATGGTTTTAGAAGGCCCCATCATCTCGGCAGGATTCAAGAAAGTCCAATAACTTTTAATAATCAATATCAGAAAAGTTAATCCAATTAGGATAAATAATTTATTGCTAATTGAGTTAAATACATTTTGAAGTTTAAAGTTACATAATAATTGATTTTAATTAAAATGAAAATAAGAATATAAATTGAAAAAGTACTCTAAAATTTTGGGAAATAAAATTTTAATTACATTAATCTTAAAAATTTCTCCTTTTTTGGACTACATTTTCCCCTTATTTTCTTCAGCTTTCATATTGATTAACTCTTGATACTTTTTTTGGCAATGCTTTTCATTTATTTTGCAATTTTATGCTTTTATATAAAATTCTTTTCTTTTCAATATTTCAATTTAAACTAAGATTTTTCTGTATTTTTTCATTCTAATTAGCTGCTTACCCCAATTAGTGATCAAAATATGATTCCATATTTATTTCCATGATTCTTATACTTTCTGCATCCATGTTTAAATAGTTCAAAAAATCAATAATCTATATTCTCCTTATTTTTCGGTGTTTGCTCTTCTTTTCCCTTCCTTCTTAGTCCATTGATTTATTTTTCCTCTATTTTTTGGGTTAAGTTTTCTTGTTTTATGTAATCTTCAGTTTGATATATGAAGTTTATTTGTGTTTCAACAAATTTCTACATCCATTTAAAGAATATTGTAGTCATTATCAAAATCTATACATTCTAGTTAGTTCAAAATGAATAATACTGATCCTTAATTTATTTAGGCAATCTTTTGCAACTTCTATCGCTAGTATAAAAAATAGATGTATCCTATATTCATTAGGCAAATTCATTTGTCTAGTCTTATATTCTCAATATTCTTAGTGACTTAAAGCTTTTTGGCTTGATTAAAATAAAAAATTTCAGAGGTAAAAATCCATACAAAATTCGTGTATGACTTTGGATAAATTTTTTTTTTGATTATAACAATATCAATAATATCATCAATCAATATATCAAAGTAAATGACTATTTGAAAATATTGATCTTATTAAAACAAAATGTTTAGGTTGTTTGAAAAATTTTAATTAAATTCTCTTATCATTAGATATCTAATAAACATCCTAAGAATGCAGAATTAATATATAAGGGAAAAAAGTCATAGAATATAAGAATTTTAAAAATAAAATATAATAAAATGAGATTTGGCTTCATCATTTGAAATTACAATAATTGTATGTACATACTGAATATATCATAAATCTTGAAACAGCAATTAGAATGTATATTAAGGGTATATAAAGATTAAGAAAGAAATAACTAAAATAAAACAAATTGATAGAACATGTCTTCAAGATTTGAAGCTTTATAATTATAATCCTTTTAGTGAAGTAAATTAGGAAAAGAATTATGCTTTCCAAAAGCCGTAAACTCCTATATTGTTTTGATTGCCTTTAGTTGAATTACGAATGAAGTGCTATTATGATTTTAAAGCATGTTATAAGGAAATCTATAAATATTTGGAAGATGCACTAAATGCAAGTTTTTAGAGTCAATTCTAATAGTTGTTCAAATTTAATTTGAAGGGAAATAGTTACTACTTTCCTGATGTAACTACTTCTACAAGCACTTGTTTCATACAAAGTTGGCACAGTTTACATTATTTATATTTTAAATATTTCCTATAATCTTAGGTATTGATTTTCACACTAGTAACATCGAAGATGGATAGTATTGTGGTCACGATGTGCAATTCTTTGAACATCTCATATGATAAAAAGAGGTGGGTAATACAAACAACTAGTACTAGATCTATTCCTACTCCTATTTATTCCACCTTTGTTTGAAGTACAAATAAGTAGAATTCGTGAAACATTCTTTACAAGTATCATTTAATTCCTGCTATATATAGAAAATAACATTTAGAAATATATTAAAAGCTGACTTTTAGCTATCTTGCTTAGTACAATCCTTAAAGTTTTTATTCAGTATAAGTTGATTTAATAAAGCTAGTAAAATAGAGTTGTAATAATAGGCAGTAACAATTAATATCTATATTGCAGAGTTATTACAACATATCACGAGGTTGAGCATTTAATACAAGCAGCAGGATTTTCGAAGTTGAATCTCAATTACCAGAACAACATGGTTTATGGCGTAGCTGCATTTAAAATTTAAGCATGCAATTCAACTTATTTATGAATTATTTTAACTCCATTCTATTATACGAAATTTAAGCTCAATTACAAAGGGAAGTATCGCAAGGAGAACTAGGTCGGTTTAAGGGCACTTGTAATGATTCAGCGCCCTTAGTAACAACAAAAATCATAATAATTTATTGAAATCGAAATATTTGACATATATACTCTCAAGTTTATTAAAATAAACTTTGTTAATAGCTACTACAATCACAATTGATAGTATAAACAGAAAAACTCTAACATTAATCGTAGAAATATTAATTATTTCAATTTATAATGAGTAATCCAAAGACACTGAGAATTCATATAGCTTTGAAAGTAATAATTTAATGTTTATATTTATAACTGTTATTTCGAATAAGTATGAATAGGAGATGGACAATCTTAATAGCATTGCTCATTAATTGTAAAATCTCCAGCAAAAGAAAAAGTCAATAAGTAGAATTGCAAATATCACCATCTTAACATTAGCGCATTGCTTTGCTTGAGGATAGTAATAATAAGCTCGTATAAATATCCAAATTATCTAATGCAGTATATGATTGCTTGTATTTATGCATTACTTACAAGTTTAATATTGCAGGCTTTTTAATATATCCATTCATTATTTATTTGAAATAAGCAACTCTAGTGTGAGTAAAAACAATGCAAGTGATATAATATTGTGATAATTCATCGCAAAAACCCCTGTTAAGATAGTTACATCTGTTCGTAATGCTTAAACTAATTACTATCCCTTTAAAATAAAATCCTTGAAACATCCATAAGACTGTGCCCGATCTGAGGTTAAAACTTTACATTTAGTACATCTGTATAATAACCATATTACAATAAATAAAGAAAAACTGGGGTATTATTAACATGAACCTATGCGTAACCAAGATTAAAGTCACGAAATGCTGAACAATTATTTTAAGATCTGAAAAAGAATATTCTTTTTTGTGTTAGTAACCTTCACATTGCCCAATAATTACTTGAGAATC